AGGCCTGAAATTACTAATGACACACCTCAATTCTATGCTGATTTAATGCAAAGATGTTGGGATGCTAATCCAAAAAATAGACCTGATGCTAATGAAATAGGAAAATTCTTTGAAAAATATCATTATAATCCTTCTAGAAAAGAGGAGGAGAGTATTGAATTAGCAGAAGATAAATTATTAGAAATTATTATTGCAGAATATTATTTGTCAGATGAAAAGGACTACAAACATCATTCAGAATCAGTCTATACAAGTCGTTCACTAAATGAGTTAATTCAACAAACTAAATCATCAAATTTTTTGTCAATGGAACCAGTTTAGCAGTATAGTAATATTCAAAGTATATTTATCTCAGAATCTATTGGCTAAACAATCTTTATTAATTGTATAGGTTTAATAGGCAGTGGTGATGGTAATGATTATATTTTTAGCTATAACTTTTCATTTATATCAATAGAATATTTTTTAAAGGAATTAAGAATTTTATATTATCATATATATGTGAGTTCAAAATTGAATTTTTGAAAAATAAAAAAATTTGTCAAAATAATATTTTGTTGAAAAAAAAATGCTTCAATTTACGTATATAATATATATGGGATGGTGGGAGTATTTCTTCAAACATGATGAATTTCAAAACTTGGAATAATCCACATGCATGGCTTTACCTACACAATCCATGCAAACATTCCTGACTCCCATCATGGAAAAGCATTGTATAATTCGGTCATGAAGTATCAGATTACACCATTGTAACCATCAAATGGAGAACTGTGCCCTAAAGTCACTATCTGACAAAACCAAACCTGTTAAGATTCATCTATCATCATGTAAAGAAGACAGGATGTCATCTCATACCATCCCAAGATGCTGCTGATATGGAATGGCCACATAAAATTTTCATGTGACATTCATAGGACTTATGTAAGACTCCGAATGAATTGAATTGAATCGAATTTTAGAGTGATTTGATTTGATTTGATTTGATTTGATTTGATTTGATTTGATTTGATTTGTAGTCAACTTGATTTGATCCAAATTCAAAAAAACTGAATTTGATTTGATTCATGACTCAATTCGAATCAATTCAAATCAAACTGAGGTTTAATAATAATAGTAATAAAATTCTTCACAATATAACGGATTTCTTCATATAGTCACAATGGATAGATGGGACACATAATAATAATAAGAAAAATTTTATATGTGAAGCAAAAATTTTAAAAATCCGTTATGGCAAGAATTTAATTATTATAGTCTGCTGTGACAAGGTTTGAATATAATAATGGATTTTTGGAAAATTTTTTCTAATTACCCAAACTACAGTATCTGTTAAACCAAGATTGTGTATATTTTAAATTTTTTAATTGATAAAGGTGATTATTTAGTGATGGTAGCCAAAACTGTTTTTGAAAAAAAGGTAGTTTCATCCAATACATCTAAATCAATCTACTTTATTTTAATAACTCAATTTCAACCATTAAAATTAGTTTCATCAAAATTTAGACCAATTAATTTCGGCAATTTCGACCCACCAAGCATAGTTTCGGCCACCATTACTAGTTCAAATCGACTTGGGTTGAATCAGTTCATATATTTAACATTCAAATCAGTTCAAACTTCATTGATTTGTTTGGAGCTTTGGCACCCATTCTCCCGACAGACGTTTCCCTGCCACCATTATACCAATGGGACAACTTAAACAGCTTAGCCGGCTAATAAATGACTTAACAGACTTAAACATATTGGCTGGCTAATTAGATAACATCACCAGATATATTAATGTCATTTCTTAATATTAATGGATAATGATAATGACATGATATGGTTATGGAAATATAATGTATTAGAGAATGTCTTGTCAGTATGTGAAACATCTGTTAGGGGATCAGGTTAGGCCCATATCAACGAATTTACAAATATACTAGTGGGTGAGCACGTCCTTACGTCCATGCTTTGCTCTAGGCATGATTTATAACAATTTGTTTTAAACAACATTTGTAGTACATTTATTTTAATTTTTTTTGTTGTCAAGCAATTTTATAATCAATACGTTTTGAATGGATGTATGATTTGCAATTTACTTACTCATGCTCTATTTAATTATGGAAATAGAAAATATAATATTCACTGAGAAGAGCCCAACCTATTTCAAATTAATTCATTTTAATTAAAAATTTAATTTAACATCTAGAAAATATTTATTATATTATTATATGTGACCATTTTTTAAATCAAAATTTTTAAAATCACGATCATAGAATCAACCAATCAAATCGCTTTTAAAACAGACGGTGGATAGTTATTTTAATTTTTATAATAAATCGAATTTTATTTTTTTTTGTTATTATTATTATTATTATTATATGTTGTGTTATAAATTAAATTTTACGTTGTGCAAAAAAATTAAATCACGCCATGCAAAAGTTTATATTTATATAAAATTTTATGGAAAATCAGAACAAAAAAAATTAAATCACGCCATGCAAAAGTTATTTATTATATATATTTGTTATATAAGGCTTATTTTTTCGTTATATTATTTAAATCCAACCAATCAAATCGCTTTTATTCCGGACAGACGGTAGAGAATTAATATAGTAGTATAGATATAGATAAACCATTATTGTTTTATTTACATATTGAGATACTATTTGAGAAGAACTTTTGAATAGTACACGCTACACCCGGGATTTTACATAAAAACTTTTTTGTGTAAAGAAAAAACAGAATTCGAAATTTAGACCATATTTGGTCTAAAAATCGTTTAAGGGATAATTATTAATTTTTAATATGTAGGATAAGATTGCTATCAAAGAATTATTAATTTCAAAAGATTAAGATTTATTATATTAATGAATTATTAATTTGAAAGAATAAAAGTTTATATCAAATAATTATTAATTTTGAAGAATATACAGCTGTAAGGTTGTTTTATTATACCAAAGATATTGTTTCAATGGCAAGGGAATAATTATCTTTTTTTATAATAGTTAGAAAAATGTCAAAACTACAAAAATGGTGAAAATGCAAGAGTCATTATGGGTTAATCAAATTATCCATAATCATTTACAAAAAATCAAAAAAGATTATCCAGTAATTATCTTGTTGCCTGGACCTCTTCATGAAGAGATGAAGTATGTTTTTACTAAAAATCAAGGAATTTTACGTTACAATTGGTTAAAAGGCTTTATTTTTGATCCATTTTATTTGTTTTATTTGAATAGGAACCCTATTTATTTTTTAATCTGTTATTCTATTCTAATAAATAATCATTTACAATTCTTTTATGTCCAAATGATCAATGGTTAAAAGGCTTTATTTTTGATCCGTTTTATTTGTTTTATTTGAATAGGAACCCTATTTATTTTTTAATCTGTTATTCTATTCTATTAAATGATCATTTACAATTCTTTTATGTCCAAATGATCAATTGGTTAAAAGGCTTTATTTTTGATCCGTTTTATTTGTATTATTTGAATAGGAACCCTATTTATTTTTTAATCTGTTATTCTATTCTATTAAATGACCATTTACAATTCTTTTATATCCAAATGATCAATTGGTTAAAAGGCTTTATTTTTGATCCGTTTTATTTGTTTTATTTGAATAGGAACCCTATTTATTTTTTAATCTGTTATTTTATTCTATTAAATGATATTTAGAATCTTTTATGTACAAATTGTCAATTGGTCAAAAGGCTTTATTTTTGATCCATTTATTTCATTAAATGGTTATTTACAATTCTTTTCGATTTTTTATATAAATGGTTAATATTAATATTAATATTAATTGGTTAAAAGGCTTTTTCGTTATATGAATTTCCAAAAAAGGAATGAAATTCATTGCCTTTTTTTGATAATTAAATAGGGGTCGTGTATGAAACCAAACCAAACCAAACCTATGCTTTTTTCGTGTGAAGAATTTGCGTGAAATTCAAATTAGCCAATCGGAATTTCATCATTGTTTACAAAAATTTTTTTATTTTTTAAAATTATTTTTTAAATGAATACATTTATTGAAGATAATAAAGAACATATATATAAACTTGTAAATGATTTAACCGACCTGTTGAATGGATCAGACTTTTATGATGTAGAATTTAAAGTTGGAGTGGACCATGACGTTAAAACTTTTAAGGCTCATTCTATAATTTTAAAAGCTAGGTCATCATACTTTAAAACAGCTCTATCAAATGGTTTTTATGGAAGATCTGAGGATGGTTCAGTTTTATTTGAAAGTGATAATATATCTCCAAAAATATTTGAAGTTGTTTTAACGTAGGAATAATTCAATTAATTTAATTTAACGTTTAATCAATTATTATGGTAAATACTATACTAAATAATCAAAAAAAAAATATATATATTACTTTTTTAAAAAAAAGATATATTTATAATGGAGTTATTAATAAAAATGAATTGGGTCCTGGTGAAATTGTTAAACTTCTTGTGGCATGCGATGAATTAGAATTTGATGAATTGCTTAATGAGTTACAAAGTCACTTAATTACAAAAGAAAAGAAGTGGGTCAAACAGAATTTAATTTATATTCATCAGATTTCATCATATTATCGATCATTTGGTTTACTTCGAAAATATTTTAAAAAATTAATTCGCAATGAACCTGAATTATTTTTATTGGCAAATGATTTCAAAAATATTGAAAAACCAACACTTATAACTATTTTAGGAAAGGATGATTTGGATTTAAAAGAAATTTTTATTTGGGAACATGTCATTGAATGGGGAATTGGACAGATTGAAACTTTAGATGGAGCAGGGAAAAACATATCAGAGTGGAATAAAAACAATATTGAAGAATTAAAGAATATGCTAGGAGATATAATTCCTTTATTTAGATTTCAGGGTATCACTTATGAGGACTTTATCAGCAAGGTTATGCCATATCAAATGCTATTCCCTATGATCTTATGGAGATATCTTTCAGATAATTTTTTAACTCCTAATGAACAGTCAACTTCAAGTTTATTGCCACCAAGAGTTTCATCAAGAATGCTTGATCCAAATCTTGTTTTGCTTTTTGCAAGTTGGATCGATCAAAAATATCCAACATACAATTTATTTAGTGATGTCAAATATGAATTTAAACTTTTATATCGTGGTAGTAGAGACAATTTAAAAGCAAAAACATTTCATCGCAAATGTGGTAAAATCAACAAAACTCTTGTAATTGTCAAAATAAAAGACTCAAATCAGTTAATTGGTGGTTATAATCCACTAAGTTGGAATGGAAATGAATACAAAGATACAACAAAAAGTTTTATATTTAACATTGGCAATAGAAAGGATCTTAATACT